CCTGGGGGGCCCCGTGTAGCGGGAGACAGTTAAGGCTTAAGTTTCTAATCCAGCGGCCTCTCGAACAGGCTTCCTTGGACTCTGTTCCCAGAAGGGAAGCAGGACACTGGCCACTGTGGACGCGCTGTGCAGCCGGTTCCTTGCAAAGGGCGCCCAGCTCTGCCCAGCCTATTACAGGGGCGCAAGTTCCCGGGGCCACTACACTCCCTGGCCCAGGGGACCGACCCCCCAGGGTTCACTGAACCCCAGCAGCTGCCGAGGGGCTCCCCACGAGGCTGGCAGCCCTTTCTCTGAGTCTGCAGGCCTTTACGGCACCCATTTCTCCGAAACTTCTGTAGGTGCTGCGGAGTTAGGAGTCTTCCCAGCCTCAGCCACTTCCCCTCGCTCCGAGTCCCGCTCTGTTCTGAGGGTCAGTGGAACAGCCAAATGCTGCTGCTGGGAAGCTGGGGACAGTGTTTGGTGTGGGGAGGGTGCCCCTCCGCTCTGGGTCCTGGGGCTGCCCGTGGGTGGACGCGGCTCCAGGCGGGATCACCCCAGAGGCCCGGGGTCCGCTCTGCCCTGTGGGAAGTTTCGGGCCGTTTAACTCCCCGGTTGATTTTGCTCAGTGTCTGCCTCCCTGGAATGCTGCCGAGGTTTCCCAGGTGCCAAAACGCAGGCCTGGATCCCCCTTCCTGAGGGGAGCTTGGCTTGTGCTGACATAGCCTTTGTGTGGGTAACTGTTTTGTCACTTCATTGTTCGCTTGGGGAGCCCAGCATGGTCTGTGCCCCTGTCCGCAGAGCAGAGCAAAAGGCTGGGGCTCTGTACCCAGGTCCAGCGCTTCCTTGCTCAGATTTGCAGAGATTTTTTTTTCTTTCTAAAAAAACCTCACCATCAAGACCGGCGCTAATTACCACGCACCCCTCGGGGAGTCCTTGTGGAACCAGCAGCCTTGCTCTCCCCTTCCCGACTGTCTGCTCCAAGCAATTAAATGCCATTTAGATTCCTGAGCTGAGCCAGCTAAATGCTTCAGCATGGCGGCCTCCCCTCCCTCGCCCGCCGGCCCCACCTCTTTGGCAGAAATGAAAGCAGATCTCAGGTGAGAACAAAGGCGGCCTAATCCGGTCTCCGCTCCTCTCTGGTTGGAGGTGTTTTGTGGGGATGCCAGGAGCAGCTGTGACTGCACCGTCCTCACTCAGTGGGTCCTCAGGCATCCAGCCACGGCAGTGGGTCAGGCTCCCAACAGCAGTGCCCCTGTTTCCGTCCTGGCCCCCTAGCTGGGGCCCGTCGGCAGGAAAACCTCAGGAACACAGAAAACGTCTTTCTCCCTGCGTGGAATAAAAGTATTTGTAAAGGAATGAAAGGTCACAGTGTCCCGGCTTGGCCCACGGACTATGGCCAATTCATTTGGTCAACAAATATTAATTGAGGCTCACGGTTCACTGTCTGCAGGCGCCGTGCGGGGCCTTGGGGGACAGAGGGACAAGGGCCCCGTGTCCTGAGTCTGGGAAATGGTGGTGCAGATGGGAGAGAAGGCGCAGAAACAAATCCCCGAAATCTGAGGGGAAACTCGTGTGCCAACCAGGGGACCGATTACGACAGCGGGCTGTGTGTTTGCCTGAATGTTGCCTCCTGTCTGAGCGTGAGACGGGTGGGGACGGGTCCGAGCCCGTGCCCCTCACCCCTTGGCTGTGTCGTCTCGGTCTCCCACACTGCCACTCTGTGGAACGGCGAGGGCCATCGTGGCGGCACAGGAGGGCCCTGCTGATGTCGGGAGCTTCGCACACGGTCATCCCTCTGTGGCAGGCACTGGATACAAGAGCCCATGCTCAGAACCTGTACCATGTCCTGAAGAAACCAGAAACACACGTATGAAGACGCACGTAAAGGCGGTGCCTTACGCGTGTGTAGAGTAGATCTTTCTAGTGTCGTGTGTTACCTCATGGTGGCTCTCAGTCCAGGCTATGTATTAGAATCACAGGGAGGAGCTTTGAAAAAATTCATTTCCAGCCCCACATCCGGAGAATCTGCTCTATTTAGTCCAGGATGTGGCTTAGGCGGAGCTGTTTTAAAATCTCTGCCTAACTGATTCCCATAGGCTGCCAGCGTTCACAGTTGGCACCTGGGTTAGCATTTGGTCGCTTACCGTGGCTCTGTTGATAGGCAGGAAGAGGAGGGTATCCTTTGTGACTTGCCCGGGGCCACAGACCTTGTACTGCAGGTGCCTGAAGCTGTGTGAAGGTTTCTACTTGGTGCAGGACGGTCTCCCTCACTTGACAGACTTGGCAAGATCAAAAAACACACCAGGAGATACGTGGTTAAGTGACAGCGCTGCTGAGGAGCTTGGAGTACTCAGAAGGGACCTGAGGGATGGTGGGATTAGAAGTGGTCACGATGGCAATTACACGTCACCAGCGGAGAGCGGGAACAGCAGGGGAAACGCAGGGATGGCCAGTGAGAGTGGGGAGGTTGGAGTGGCTGAAGCTTTTGTTTATCTTAAGAACTTTTGACTTCACTTCCGCGTTTGAATGATGTTTTGGCTGGGTACAGAATTCTAGATTGGCAGTTTCTCTCAGTACTTTATGCTGATCCTCTGTCTTCTCACTGCCTTTTTTTTTAAAAATTGAGAAACCTGCTCTTCTGCTAATGGTTGGTTCTTGTACATAAACCCCTCTCTGGACACTTTTACCATTTTCTCTCTGTTACTGGGTTCGAGCAATTTGATGATCATGTGTCTTGGTGTAGTTTCTGTAACATTTTTTGTACTTACATGGGATTTGTTGAGTTTCTTGGCTCAATGGGTTTATAGTTTGGAAGACTTTGGGCCATTATTTCTTCAAATGCTCCCCCTCCCCCCTTTTCAGAGGCTCCAGTTACACGTGTGTTAGGCCACTTAAAGCTGTCCCACAGCTCTGTCCCGTTGCTGTTTGTTTGGCTATCTGCCCATTGATTTAGGTGATCTTTCTGTGCTTTATTTTGGGAAGTTTGTACTGTGATGTCTTAGAGTTTGCTAATTTGTCTTCCATCGTGTCTGATCTACCAATAATCCCAGGAATCCAGTGTATGTTCACCTCCGATTTTTACATTTTTTCTATAGATGTTTGATTTGGATCTTTTCATACCTTTAGGGTCCCTATTTACCTTTTGAACTTACAGAATACAGTTATAATCCCCCCTTAATATCTTCTCTGCTAATTCTGTCAGCTTGGGGTCACTCTCCATTGATTCATTCTCATCACGGGCTGTGTTTACCTGTTGCTGATCATTTTTTATTGGCTGCCTGGTGATTTTTTTGGTTGGATACCAGATATTGTGAATTTTACCTCATCGGGGGCTAGATATATTTTCCTTCTTGCAGATATTCTAGCTTTGTTCTGGAATGCAGCTAAGTTGCTTGGAGACAGTTCGATCGTTTTGGACACTGCTTTTTAGAGATGGTTGGCTGAACAGGAGCAGTGCTCCATCTAGAGTTAATTACCCCTGCAACTAGGACAAGACCCTTCTGTGTTTTCTCAGCAATCCTGTGTGAACCCTCAGGCCTGGCTGTGGGGACAGGCACCCTTCCCAGCTCTGTGCTCTGTGTGGGTGCTGAGCACCGCTTCCTCCAACCCTTGGTGCTGCTTCTTGCCCCAGCCTTGGGTGGCTCCCTCAGACACGCATGTGCACACGCATGCACACATGCACACACATGTGCTTGTCAGTACTCTGCTGGGCCTCTCTGCATCCTGGAGACTTTCTCGTTGCAGGAATCTGGGGCGATCGCAGAGCTCACCTCATTTAGTTTCTGCCTCCAAGGAACCGGATAGATCCAGTTGCCTGCCCCTCAGCATCTTATAAATAGCACCACTGTCCACGTGCTCCGATATCTCTCATTCAGCATCATCACGCTGATGTTTGCCCACGATGCTCCGCGTGTTGGTGGTTTGCTCCTGTGTATGCTGGAACCGCGTTCCATTGTAGGCAGGTCCGTGGCTGGTCCAGCCAGGCTCCTTTGGATGGACGTTTGGGTTATGCTCCGTCAGGACCATTCTTGCACAAGTCTTTCGTGGACATTTGCATTTATTTTATTTTTAGTGTCTGGAGGAGTAGAATTGTGGCATCACATGGTTGGTGTGGACTTAAAGGTATTTATGAGAAATTGTCTAACAGTTTTCCAGAGTAGTTGTACTGTTTGTTTCACATCCTTGATAACCATTCTCAGTGAGTTTTGGCTTCTCTGGGGGCGAGCGATGGCCTCGGAGAATCCACGTGGGTGTGAATTACTGACGACACACCGTCGCGGGTCAGGGAACGGGCACAGGGATTGGTGTCTAAGGCCAGTGGACTTTGCATAAGACCATCCCACTGCTGCGACCTTGAGTCCACAGACGTGAGCGCGGTGGGTGTGGCAGTGCATGTGGCGGACTCGATGTGTCCCCTACAGAGGAGCCTCCCATCTTATGATTATCACTCTGGTCTCGTGGCTGCCTCTCCTTCACTGAGGTCAGCTCTGAGAGGCCGGGGGGCAGCCCAGGGAAGCCCGTGATGGAGCCTCTTCTGCACATAGCTGTGCTGTCGGTTCATCGTTTCCTCCGGAAGAAAGAGCACTGAGGCTCTGGGGAGGCGCGCGGATCACTCTGTCATGGGTGTAGGTGGTTGTGAGCCTCACGTCTGAAGCTCACACAGGATTCCCGTAAGCGATATGGATTCCTGTGGCCCTCCTGACGCACTTCACGGGGGATTTGCCGGCCAGGCAAGTGTGTGCGTTCGCCAGGAAGCCGGCATCGAGAATGCCCACAGGGCACCCGAGGCCCCCCGGGGAGCCCAGTGTTGGCGGGGTGACCCCTTGTCTCCCTCTGTTTGCCCTGTGAAGTGGGGAGCCCGGCGTTGGTGGGGTGGCTTCTTGTCCCCCTGATTTTGCCTGGCGAAGCTCCTGTCCTAGCTCCTCCCAGTTCTGCTGGATTTATAATCCCCTGAAAGGGAGATGGAAAAGCAAACACGCTGGGCATTGAGGGGCTGACCGTCTCTCCCTTCGCTCTTTCAGCCGGAAGAATCAACGGGCCTGCACAGTTTTAAGAGCAAGGTCTTCAGAACGGCCAGAGTCTGTGGGGTCTGCAAGCAGGTTATCGACGGCCCGGGGGTCTCATGCCGAGGTGAGTCCCTGTTTATAGTTCTCTTGCCGACTGAACGAAAGCAGAGCAGGCAACAAACGCAACGCAGAAGGCAAACCTCTCGGGAGTTTCCAGAAGCTAAACCCTGGAATTCCCCTCCGCGGCCTGTCTGCCCCTCACCCTTGCGGGGCAGGGACCGGCCATATTTACACAGATACGAGTGCAAAAGGAATTTCCCAGAAGGAGCGACGCTGCCGCGGGGGAGGCGGGACAGCAGGCGGTGTCGTCTCGTGGTCTCAGGAACTCGGGGCTCCTTCTTACCAGCTGGTCTTTCCCCAGCGTTTACAAACGAAACGTGTCTGTTCATCGCTTCAGGGCGTAGGGCCCTTCGGGCCTTTTGTCAGCCTTTCTCCTGTCACCAAACAAAGCCACCGGCGTCACTAGACACCAGGTGATCCGAGGGACTTGCTATTTTTTTTTAAATATGCTTTTATTGATTTTTAGAGAGAGAGGAAGGGAGAGGGAGAGAGATGGAAACATCAGTGATGAGAGAGTCGTTGATCGGCTGCCCCCTGCCTGGGCCCTGACCTGGGAATTGAACTGCGACCTCCTGGTTCATAGGTCGATGCTCAACCACTGAGCCATGCCGGCCGGGCATGGACTTGCTATTTTTCACACTTGCACGTTAATATATGAGTGACAATGACGTCTCTTTTTCCCCTGTGGACCCTAGAATTGGGGCAGGGGCTGGGGTCTGCGTCACAGAGCAGAGGCCTGGGAGCGGGGTCCTGGAGACGTGTGGGGCTGTTCTGCGGCATCCTGTTCTTGACGGGTCTGGGATTTCCCAGCCAGAATGTTCGTAGGGTCTTGCTGGTGGACTTCTGTTGTGTTGGGACGGCCTCTCGACTCCCCTTTCTCCCCGTGGACCCTGGGCAGACGTCCCAGTGGCTGCTTTGAGGTTGGGTGGCCACTGGGGAAGACGCAGCATTGTCAGACGTCTGTGGGGTGACAGTGTGACCCGGGGCCTCTCGGGCTCTCTCAGAGGCCCATCAGTTCTTGCCATGTCACCCCCAGCGGCTGCCTCCTGGGAGCTGTGAGCCGTCTCCTCCCCACTTGAACCCCCAGGTGTCTCTATTGGAATTGATGCTTCTTGGGGCTTTCACCTGCTTCTCAGAGCACGTGGGCCCCTCTTACCCTCTCCCTGGAGGCAGCCTGTGTGAGGGAGCCTGGGGCTCCCCTTCACCTAGAATTGTCACCCTGTCCCCAGAGAGGTCACCCCGGTGGTGGCCTCTGGCAGCGATTTCTCTCCGTGGAAAAGCAGCCCCGAGCTGCGGGGAAGCAGGTGACACTGCTCGGCCACAGAGAATGAACCCAGGGCTCGAAGGACAGTGCGTCCGTGTCGTCCAGGCTGCGGGCTCAGAGCAGAGCATTGCTTCACGAGGGGACACGGGAGCAGTGAGGAGTGAACATGAGGGGACATGGGAGCAGTGAGGAGTGAACATGAGGGGACACGGGAGCGGTGAGGAGTGAACATGAGGGGACACGGGAGCGGTGAGGAGTGAACATGAGGGGACACGGGAGCAGTGAGGAGTGAACATGAGGGGACACGGGAGCAGTGAGGAGTGAACATGAGGGGACACGGGAGCGGTGAGGAGTGAACATGAGGGGACACGGGAGCGGTGAGGAGTGAACATGAGGGGACACGGGAGCAGTGAGGAGTGAACATGAGGGGACACGGGAGCAGTGAGGAGTGAACATGAGGGGACACGGGAGCAGTGAGGAGTGAACATGAGGGGACACGGGAGCGGTGAGGAGTGAACATGAGGGGACACGGGAGCAGTGAGGAGTGAACATGAGGGGACACGGGAGCAGTGAGGAGTGAACATGAGGGGACACGGGAGCAGTGAGGAGTGAACATGAGGGGACACGGGAGCAGTGAGGAGTGAACATGAGGGGACACGGGAGCAGTGAGGAGTGAACATGAGGGGACACGGGAGCAGTGAGGAGTGAACATGAGGGGACACGGGAGCAGTGAGGAGTGAACATGAGGGGACACGGGAGCAGTGAGGAGTGAACATGAGGGGACACGGGAGCAGTGAGGAGTGAACATGAGGGGACACGGGAGCAGTGAGGAGTGAACATGAGGGGACACGGGAGCGGTGAGGAGTGAACATGAGGGGACACGGGAGCGGTGAGGAGTGAACATGAGGGGACACGGGAGCGGTGCAGAGTGAGCGAGGAGTGTCTCGGACCTGCTAGTGTGCACACGTGTGCAAAGTGAGCTTGAGGCAAGAGCCTCTGCTGGACATGCTGTCCTCCCAGGGCTGGTGACCAGTGCACTCGGGGCCACTCGTCCCCTGGGGGAGCTGAACTAACCTCTCTGAAGGGCTGGCACCTTGCGGGTGACCCAGTGCACCAGCGGAGAATCAGGATGAGCCCAACTCCCGACCTCGTCCTGCTTCCAGTGTCCCTCCAGCCAACCAGCCATCACAGCCAAGCATGGGGACATCACGCAGGGTGGGCGTCTCAGTGCCCCGTGGTTGCCCGCCTTCCTCTGAGCGAGGTGGGAACGCGTCCCCCACGGGAGAAACGAGACGTGGCGATGAGATAGCTTGAGGGGGGTCCCCTGTGGAATAGCAGTGAGTGAATGATTGCCTCCAGGGGAAACAGCTGGGCCACAGGGTTACCTGCTGGGGCTGGAACGTGTTTCACGACGAGATGAGAGGGGCCTGGAGAGGCGGGTGGTGGGCAGAGAGGACCCCAGATCCCGCTACACCGGCCGCCGCTCCCGGCTTTGGTGCACCCCCCAGGAGCACACCCTAGTCCTAGGGCCGCAGTGGGCAACACGGCACATGGCGGGGTCCTGAGATGTCCCTGCCTTCTGGAGTCGGACCCCAGAGAGTTGTCTCAGAACATGGGGAGACACTGCCCCCCACCTGTGCTCCCAACGGGAAGCCAGGAAACCTCACATTTCTGTCCGGTCAAAACCACAGTCTGTGGCCCGCACCCTTGCTGGATTACCCTTGGTGACACCTGGGGACACCCGCAGCAAGGTTAGCAGTGGGCATCGCCTGCGCCTTGAGCACTTGGAGCCAGTTCCTGGGCACACAGGGGAGCGGCAACCTTGGGAGTCAGAGGGAGAAGCGGAGGTGCCACCCAGGGCTCATCTCTCACTCGGTAACTATGTGCAGAGTGTTGAATAAAGGCTGTGGGATGGGGGCCGGGGTTCCCAGGGCTCCCGGGGACACAAAGAATAGAAGTTCCAGGACAACATGTAAAAATGTTGGCCGTGCCAGCGCCAGATGCCCCGGGCGTCGGCGCTGCTGTGGGCGCCGGGATCCTTACCCACGACCGCAGAGCCCCGGTCAGAGCTGGGAGCCTCCATGTGCGGGGCAGTTGCTCAGCTGGGGGGTGAAAGGGGTGGGGGAGGCGCAGGCCCCTGGGGGGTGCCCTTTGCAGCGGAGCCTGGACTGGCTCGGCAAATGCCACCCGCGCGCTCTCGACGCTGCCCAGCTCTTCACTTCTGCCAGGCGGTGGGGAGAAGTGGCCCCTCTGCTCTCCTGGCGTCCTCCTGGCTGTGATGGAGACTGAGCATCTAAAGGTCCGGGAAAGACGCCAGTGGTTTTTATCTGGTAAACTAGCCTTTCACACCCTCACTCGTTTAAAATACCAGATTTTTTCCTCTTGGATTTCCAAGAATTTGTTATATTATAAATATTAAACTCCTGCCTGGCCCGCGTGGCTCCGTGGTTGATCCAGGAGGTCAGGTTCGATTCCCGCTCAGGGCACAGGCCTGGGTTTCAGGCTGGATCCCCAGCAGGAGGCAGCCCGTCCGTGACTCTCATCGCTGACGTTTCTCTCTCCCTCCCCCTCTCCTGTCCTCTCTCTGAAATCAATAAAAACATATTAAAAAATTTAAAAAATATATTAAACTTCTGATGTGTTATCTTAGGCAGGGCCTGTGCCCATGTCCATGGATTTGGCCTCCGGGGGTCTCGTGTCTCGCCGCCCGCCGCCCCCGCCGCGAGCGGTGGGCAGCTGCTCGTCTGACCGTGCTGGTGGGGGTCCGTCCCGGGACAGCTGTAAGGCTGGGTGGTTCCGACCCGCCCGGCCTTTCGCTGAATTTCCGCTCTGTGTCTTATCTGAGAACGCCTTCCCTCCTCCGCGTCCTCAGGATGCCCCATGCTGTTTTATTCCAACGTTCGGTTCTGCTTTTCCGGTTCCGACCCGGTTTCGTGGCGGATTCCCTGGGAATTCGGGTGGTTCCGGTTGCTCCTTGCGAGGGCGCTGGTCCTCCCGCCTGCCTTCCCGTGTGGCCCGTCCTCTCTCCCTTCAGTTCGCCTCAGCGCTGTGCCAGGCAGGGAAGCAGAACCGCCAGGGTGCACAGAAGGAAAGAGGCGCGTTCTCCGGAGTCTGCGCCCACGGGTGACGGAGGCTGAGCCGGCCCACACCTGGCGCCCGCAGGAGGAGCCCAGGGGGCCGCTGTGTAGCCCCAGCCCCGGTGCAGGCGCAGGAGGAGCCCGATGGCCCAGCTCGAGCACAGCCAGGCCCAGAGAAGTTCTCTGTTCCTCCGCCTTTTGTTGTTAATTCTTACGCGAGGATATTTGTGTCCACTGATTTCTAGACTGAGTGGGGGGGGGCAGCGAGAGAGACAGACACTGATGTGAGACGCGTCCATGGGTTGCCTCGCGCACGTGCCCCAACTGGGGGCGGGGATGGAACCCGCAACCCAGGTACATGCCTTTGCCTGGAAATTGAACCCGTGACCCTTTCCGCCTGTGGGCCGACGCTCTAACCGCTGAGCCTGCCGGCCAGGACGCCCTCTGCCTGTGATGCTGTTTGGGCCCAGAGTGGCTCGGATGAGGCCACCTTCCTGGGGGGGGCGGACGGTCTCCTGCGGCCCACAGATGTAGATGTTAATCTGTGGGAGGTGACGGAGGCGTTAATTAACTCGATTGTGGTGGGTATCTGACAGCGTCTACATGTATCAAATCATCACGTTGTGCGCGTTAAACACACACGGTTTTGTTTGTCAATTACAC